CAAGTATTGTTGTGCTGAGCTTAGATTTGAAAAGATATTTCACCTGTGATCATTTTTCAAAAATCTATGGAGGTTTAAAGATTGCCAGTTTGACCAATTTGTGACAATTCACGCTCGATATATTTCGCGCTATTAACGCGTAAGCGGAGATTTAATCCGTCTTTGAAATACGAGCCGTCTTTTAGAGAAAAGATTCCTTTAGAATTTTGAGCTTTCCAATATGTGAAGAACAAGGAAACGTTTATGCGCACTAGATGAATTCATTTTGAATTAAATTTTTAACCTGTTTTTGAAACATTTTGTCTAAAATTAGACCTTTTTTTATTAATTTGTATTAACAGTACAAGAAACTTAGACTAACAGATTTTGATGCAACTAAGATCTTTGGGTATTTTTTGCTTAATTTTATCTGTCATAACAATTGCTTTATTTTATTTGTCATAACCATTGCTTTATTGTTCCGACTTTCGATACGAAAGTAACGGAATATTTGTGCTCGGGGTGGGTTTTTTTTTTCTTCAGACAAATTTCGACTTTTTAACTTTTGACTTTTGACTTTTGACGGAATTTTTTTATATCATTCGAAAGCCATTGTTGTCTTGAGCTCAAATTTGAAAAGATATTTCACCTGTGATCATTTTTCGTAAAGTTATGAGGGTTTAAAGATTGCCACTTTGGCCATTTGACCAATTTGGGACAATTAACGCGCGATATAATTCGCGCTATTAACGCGTAAGCGGAGATTTAATCCGTCTGATAAATCGTTCCAAATTGGTTGAACGAAGCTTATTTGCCATAATTGATCTGTTACAAGGAACGAAATTTATCTTTTTGTACTTTATATGGCGTGTGGGGGGATGATTTTCATAACAAATTTCAAATTTCAGAAAAAAAAATTTTTTTTTTTATTTCATTTAATTTTTTATGTTATTACTGCTGCTCCATAAACCGTAGAAGGCAGTCGGAACATTCAGGGCTTCGCCCTGATACGAGCAGTCTTGTTTAAAATTAATTATTGAATCCTTCCTTAAGAGTTTTTTTTTTAATTTTAAATTTTTTCATGACACAAAAATTATTTAACAACGGAGATAAAATTTGATCTCTTTCCTAGTTCTGCTTTTCATCTTGAAAATTTTCATTCATGTTTTAACTTAAAATCAAAATAATGTGAAATACAAACGTTAGAACTGAATATGAGTAATTATTGAGAAAAACGTTTGATTTCGGCGTCAAACTAAAAATTTTATTTTGATTATTTTGAGTTCTGTCTTCCTTCATCAAAGTTTCCAAAACTAGTTTTTTTCGAGATGTGCAAAACTTTCTAGGCAAAACTTCAATTAGCAAGTTTGGTTAAAAAGTTTCAAGAATATGGTGGAAAATCTGAATACACTTTTTGTGAAAAGATTTGCCGAAATTTCATTAAAATCAGTTTTTCAAAACTTTTTATACCATGAGTCGTTCTAGGTTTTTCTCTGAAAATTTTTCTATGTTTTTTTCTACAAGTCTTACTAACTTTTTATCATCGCAAAGTAGCCATCAAGCTGATTGTGTCAAAAAACAAAAACCTAAGATTTTTTGAGCTCAAAATTTTGAATGATTTTGTATGGAATTAAAGACAAGATTTCCAGCTCTTTTGAGTTACTAGCGACTACAACTTTCAAACAAAACTCTAAATTATGCACTAATTTGAGTGGTTAAGTGGCTCCTTTGGCGCAAGTTTATAACTTCGAATGCCACTTATAAAAACTATTTTCAAAAACGGATGGAATAGTTGTGTTCGGGTGATAATGTCTTTAAAAAAAAATCAGCTTTTTGATTTCTCATGATTCATAAAGAACGCTTTTATAATAACTGCCTTTAGACCAACAGCTCAGAAAATACACAAATTCTCATTTTTTGCAATGTTGAGATTTTGAAAGTTGCCAATTTGGCTTAATTAGGACACCCAAAGCGCAATTTTTATCAGTTTTCTTTCAACTTATAGAGTATGCAGCAACTGAAAAAGATACGAAAACTATTTCAAATTGCATTAACGCAAGCAAGTCATTTGAGTTTTTTCAACTTTTAAATCTTTTTCAATCAAAACCTACTTTTGCATGACAATCAAAAGTTCAAAAAATTAACTCTGATACTTGCAATTCGATAGTTGGATCATGTTTACTGATTCAATGAGACTATGTCAATAAACGACCAAAGTAATAAGTTCAAATGTATATATGTAGTATGTATAAGTATATGCATAAAGACTTTTGTTTTTTTCAACAATAGTCATGGAATTAGTCTGGCTGATTATAACAATCGTGAGGCTAATCATGAGGCTTCACATGATTTTGTTCATCCTCCAGTTCCACCAGTGTCAAGATTTTTCTTCAGAGTTGTATTTAATAGCTACAGTCATTTCTTTCATCAGTGGTTTCTTAAGCTGATATTTGTCTCAAGCAGGAATCAAATACTTATAGACAGGGAACAACAACAAGTTTTCGGGGTCATTTTGTTAACCGTATCAACACACTCTTTTGTCACCTCAATTAGTACGTGATAATGGTGTCCATTTTCAATCGATTGTGAACAATAATTGTTAAAGGTAGAATAGATTGAAAGAGAAACATCTAAGTTAGCTGGCAAGGCAGATATATTGGGTTCAGTATTTAGATTAAAAAATTCGAAGTTTTTACGAAACTGTTCAAAAGAATCAGTCGTTTCTTTATACATACTAGCCATATACAGAAATTTATACTTTCTTTATACCAAAGTAATAAGTGAAAATGCTTAAGAGACATCATAAAGCTACAGGAAATAATCCATATCTATCATAACAACTGGTTCCCTTAAAATCAATAACTGAATACTGAATTGGTTACTATTTGGATTTTCAATATTGTCATTGCAAAAAAAAATATTTAACAAAGAAGATAAAATTTAGTCTTTTCTTAGTTTTATTTTCTATTCTAAAAAATTGATCAAGCTGATTCACGTGTTTAGTTTGGAATCAAATTTATCTAATTTAACAACGTTTTTAATCGTGGATGTGAGCAAGTAATAAATCAAACTTTTTAATTTCATTTCTGTCTCTTTTTTCATCAACGATTCCAAAATTATGAAACTAATGTTTTTTTTTCAAATTTGAAAAAAAAAAATTTACGCAAAAACATCAAATTGCCATACTTTTTCTGAATTGCTTCCAGATTTCAAGGTACTTTTTTGGGCATATTTTACGACAGCAATTTATGGTATTTAAGTTTTTGTACAGGATCACTTTCTGCCAAAATATTTTACCTTTAATTGGGAAGTTTTCCGAAAAACAAGTTTTGAATCAAAATCTTCTCTAAAGTGCTGCAAACCGCGTGTAATGCATAATTGCTCAACCTGGACAAACTTTTCAAAATACTAATTTTTCAAGATTTCTGCAGGAACCAAAAAATCACAATGGCTGACCTAAAAAATGGCCAACCTCGTCAAAAATTCCTGCTTTACTATGATAATTGTGAATCGTGGGGCAAGAAGGAGAAAGCGGTCTCGTTGCTTTGAAGACTAAATTAGAGAACTCGATTGCAAATTGACCTTCAAAGTTTATTTTACTACATTTTAAACGTTGTTTTAGTTATTACAACCATTTATTTATAAAAAAAATTAAATGACTCAATTTAATTGCGTTTTATATTTTAAAAACAACAGAAAATTAGACTGAAAATGAACACTAACATATAAAGGTACATCAGTTACACCACCGTTGGATAAGGTATACCGTTTGTTTGTCATGCTATAAAAACCGAAAGTTAGTGCGAAAATGTACACTTACATATAAGGTACATCAGGTACACCGTCGGATAAGGTACACCGTCTGTTCGTCAAGCTATTTAATTTGTTAGTCCAATACTGATCCTAACTTTACTCGTATATTTCCTGGCCTCAATAGATCTAGTATATACTGATATTCTTGCGAGGTTAGAGGAGAGAAAGATGCAACTGATTTCCAAGCTGAATTATAGAAGAAGAGTTTCAGCTTTACAAATTATCATAAAATTTTGTAATGGATCAGCATTGGTTAGTTTTAAATGTTTTACAGTGATTAATATCAAGATATATAATAAATACTTGTTTTGAACAGGTTCCATCAAATTTTTCAAATTTCATTTTTTTTCAACTCAATTTTTATTTTGAATTAGTGTGATGGGAAAATTCTGCTATGTAAAGTTTCAATAACATCATGATTATAATGATAGGTAGAGTAAAAAACAAGCGGGAGCACATAAAAGAGATTTATAATAGAATAAATGTTTATCAGAAAAAAAAATTACTAGCAGTTTTTTTAATTAGTTCATTGTAAAAACTTAGAAATCGAATGAAAATTCTGAATATTATAAAAAATATTTTAATCATCGGGATAAATATACACTTTTTATATTAAAGACTATGAAAACTCGCAAAAATCATCGAGGCATTTTTTTTTTGGAACAAATGACCTAAAATGCAAAATGCATTTAAAAATAAATGCTATTATCTTGATTGCGTTATTTAATCAACTTTGTGCTTTTGAAACATATAACACGAGCGTGAAACATAAAGTAATTTTTTTCAGAGCTTACTCTTGTTTTTAGAAAACTTCCTGGGGCACAAAAAATGCTCTTCAAGCGCTGAAAATTTGTTGCATGCTTTTTGTTGTATTTCGTGAAGTACTTTGCCTCCTCGCAAACTTGAGTTATCATTGTTTGTTGATAAATCAGTTTTTAGCTAGCAAGAATGATCTCAAGAATAATCAAAACTTTTCCGGATATCTTCAACCATTCCCCTCCTAGGGTACCTAGTAACGATTTGGCAGCCCTTAAAGAAATAATTCAATGATTGGTCGTTCTATAGTTTTCTACCTAGTAACGAACCTCCTTTTGAAAATGGGGAAAATAGTTAAAATGATCCAACTTTTCTGTAAATTTTCTGACACACATACAACATACTTTAATTACAACTTAATTAATTTATTTTAGATGGAACTTCTTGTAAGTTCACATGCGTCTCTTAAACTCGATTTTCCCTTTGTTTCTTTTGCCATTTTTGTTTTGATTTTTTCTTCGATTCTTCTTGCTCCCAGAAGAAGCCGATCCTGACCCCTGCCCTTTCTGTTCCTTTCCTTTTTTGGTAGTTTTTGTTTCTTTGCAAATCCACGCATTGTCCCTGCACATGATGTTGTGCTTGAACCAGTGGAATGTGAGGTTTTTTCCAGGGTCTTCATAGTCGAACACCTCCGAATCCATACGTAGGATCCCATACGGTTCTTGTTCTCTGCCGCCTATCATATAAGGTGCCCCCACCCTTACTGTGCTGTCGTGATTTCGCCGCAAGTTTCCGGGACCAAATCCGACTTGCACTATTATATTGTCGCAAGTATTCGGTGAAGCAATTGCCTGAAGTTCATCAAATATTAGGTTTGGCGTGATAAGTTTTTAAAACAATGTGGCTGTGAGGAGGATACTTATTTTGGATGCAAGTAAAACCCTTTTTTGTTCGAGGATGGTGCAGAAATAAATAAAGAAATAAATGATTGAGAGTTTTGAAATACATATATATGTTGTTTTGAATTACTTTTAGAGATGTCAAAAGATCCACTACTTGTCAATTATTATGCCTTGCCACTCTATTCTATGGGACTCTGTCTCACCTCAATGTAGTTCAGAGGCTTTTCTTCGTCGTCATAATCCATGAGTTTCAGTAGATACTGTTCCGGGTTCCAATCTTTGTAGAAGAGACCATTCATCATGTACTTCTGAGTCTGTGAGGAGCAACAGTCTTCTAAACATTTTCGATTGGTCGATTTCAAATAACCCGAATGGTTCTAGAGGCGGCATGAGATTATTCACCTTCTTTGATGTTTCAAGAAAACTAGAAAGCACATATATATGTTTTTCGACACAATTTAAGGCCGCTGCGCTATCTTTCAATTCAATTTTTTCTTAGGTCTTTAGGTCTTCAAAAAAATCTTAGGTCTTTAACTTGAGAGTTTTTCTCTTTTCGTGACGAAAAAGTATGCTTCGTATTGCCTGTACCGCCATTCCTCTCAAAAACAAAATATTTCAGATTAAGTGTCTTTGATTTTCGAGAAATTTCACTACTGGCTGTCAACAGGGGCGGATCTAGATTTTCTCGAAAGGGTGTCGAATTTTCAAAAAGGCCGACCACATTGATTTTCTGAGGAAAAAACAGGCCAAAATACACCTTTTTAGGCTTTTTTGAAAATTTCCACCGAAAAGATGCGTTTTTAGGCGCGCGCTCCCCTCTCAAAAATGCTATATATTGGTGCCAAAAGCGCTTTTAGAACAAATTTTAGTGTCGGTCAGCCAAAATTGAGTTTCTCAAAATAGTACAAAAGGGGGAGCCTTTGGGTCGGCAGTGAGTCGTATCCCTCAAGTGGAAGAAAAAACATCCCCCCCATCCGTCCCCTGTTTGTCAGAGTTATGGCCAGAATTAACCAAGCTTTCTTAACCATCAGCTCACTTGGGTTTGAAAAGTCAATCATGTTGATGCTGTTCCAATGCTCTTTGATGAGAATGTTGAACCAGGCCTTGGCTGCAGTTGGGTCCAAGCTAGGTCGAATTGGCTCATAAGAGTACAAATGCGGATTCTGAGTGCGATACCCATACAAACAGTAATAGTCACTAAAAACATAAGCATGAGGATGTATTTGATTTTACAGTAGCTCAGAAACTACCGGCCATGCTCCCGTAATGTTTGGCTCTAATTGTATTGCAGATTTAATATCAAAAATCAAATTGGCAGAGTTCGTGTTTTTTCAATTTCCATCCTATTGCAAATTATCTCCACCAGTGTTCTGAGGGAAAGTTCGGCTCCTTCAACTGACGAGCGAGCAACATGTATAAACCCGACTGCCTCGCATCAATTTAAATCAATCAAGATTCGTCGTATCAAAGAGAAGCACTCAATATTCCGAGCATTATATTTAATTATTGGCGTGCGACGTTTCTAAGGTAGCTTTTGGAAAAAATTGAAAACTTCAAAAAACAAGAGGAAATTATATTTTCTTTTGTAAATTTACAACGCAAACACACAAAAACTCACGCACGATCCAGATGTACAATCTTGGCTATCTTGCTATCTTGCAACCCTGTAAATGTGAGCTGCAAAAGAAATACATCAGTCTTTAACTTTCATTATTAACCCTCATTTTTCTCATGGAATTTGGACAAAATTTCGGAAAAAAAATATATATGCTTTATAAAGTACTCGTCGTCATATCCACGCACATTAAAATTCGACCGTTCTTACTATCATTATCCTAACACACACACACACACACACACACAGAGAGAGAGAGACACACACACAGACACACACATACATACACAAAACACACGCACAAATGCACTTGGATTTCTATCTTTTATTGTTCCAAGAAAGTGGGGAAACATATATGCTTACGGTGGTTTTTTTTACAATTCAAACCACTTTTTAAAAAAATATTGGCTGATTGGGTGGATCGATATCAGGATTCTTGCGGAAACGAGTCTTTCAAAACTAATATTTTATTAGTTTGGTGCTGAAAGTGTAACACGATTTTTTTATGTGTGGCTCATAATCCCGCACTACAAAACTAATTGTTGCAAATTGATTTGGGGCATGCTATTAACCATATGAATTCCATTCAGAACTGAAATTTTAACATTCAAAATTTGATTTTAATAGCCCAAAACTTTCACCATTTATTTTATTTATCAAAAAAAATTTGAGACTAATTAAAGGGTTGTCGGAACATTCAGCCCTTTGCCCTGATATATGAACAGTCTTGTTCTTCCGACTTTCGACGCAAGTGACGGAATATTTGTGGTAAGGGTGATTTTTTCTTCAGACAAATTTTGACGGCTAGCAATTTTTGATGGAAAATTATTCTAATATCATTCGAAAAACAATTTTTGCCCTGAGCTCAAATCTAACAAAATATTTTACCTGTGATTATTTTTTCTAAAACTATGGGGGTTTACAGATTGCCAATTCGGCCAATTTGATCAACATTTTGTGCTATTACGGCGTAAGCGGAGGTTTAATCCGTCTTAAAAGCCGTTCCAGATTTAATTGCGGCACGTTGTTCGATCTGCTTAATAGTTTGCTATATGCGGAAAATATCATTTTGTACTGTCCCCTACATAGCCTGTGGGGGTTTGCATTATTATTTTTTGAATTTTCCGGAACATTCAGGGCTCCGTCCTGACATACGAGCAGTCTTGTTATACGTAGAGAATCATTTTTATCTTGTCTTAGAAAATTTAAAGCATTTGTGGGGCAAATTTGGTGAAACAATATCAATGAACACCACCCTGAATCCGTCCGTAAATTCTAATTCGTGAAATTTTTCGAGTCACCGATACTTTCAGATGAAGGCGCTTTTCTTAAAAACAGTTTTCTCTTTTGAGTTATGAAAAGGGTCTAAATTAGTCCAAATAAAAACATCTACCTGTGACTCCTACATTGAGCAATCTTTCCTATGTCGTAAGCCAAATAGAAAGTGAGCGATTCCCAGTCTGGTGAGGCTGCAGAAATCACTACTTCGCTACATTTTGCAGCATGATCCACAGAAATGGCTAAAATGGCTCACAGTTTAAATGATCCAACCATTTTTACTGATTTTGCCTAAATTTCTTCAAACGAAAAACAACCGCGCTCGTTAAAAGCAACACAATTTCTACAAATGTTGTTTTCCCGACCATTTTTAGTGATCAAAATAAAAAGTTTTTTTTAGTGATTTATGATTTAGATAGTGATTTATTTGAAAAATTGATTTAAAAAATTCAAAATAAAAAAGGGGACCATGAATCGCAAAAAAAACTAGTCAATTTCTTTAATTTAAGAGCGCATGGAAATTGTCAAGTCGGAATAATCAGTGAGCGATTTTCTTCAAACAGTGGTGTCTGGCGGGGGACCTTCAACTCATGAACTCAGCCCCATGAGCACCAAAAAGATCCCTTAAATGGAACAAAATGAATACTTTTTTTGCCTATCTGACCCTAAAAATGTCGTGAAGGCTCCTTGGGAACCCATATATATTAATTTTGAGGGTGGTGCGCTTGCAAAAAAAGGCATTTTTATGGCAAAAAACTCATAAACTGGCATTTTTGCATAATCTTTAAAACATTTTCCTGCAACGAATACAGCATATATAGTATTTTGGGAGAGCTCGCGCAATCAATATTGTAATCAACTTATATAAACATTTTATACAATTTTTGAAAAACCATTCCTTTGAGACGGTCTAAAATCTATCTATGATTTTATTGCAAAGTTCATTCGTGCAAAAGGTGTAAGAGTGAGTTTATGGTTTTACAAAGAACTTAAAAATCATTTTAAATTAGTTTTTATTAGATTACCTCCATTTTTAGATTCTCATTAAAATTTATTGTTCCGACTTTCGATACGAAAGTAACGGTATATTTGTGCTCGGGTGGGTTTTTTTTTTCTTCAGACAGATTTCGACTTTTTACTTAGCCATTTTTGACAAAATTTTTTATATCATTCAAAAGGTATTGTTGTCCTGAGCTTAAATTTGAAAAGATATTTTACCTGTGATCAATTTTCGTATAGTTATGGGGGTTCTGAGATTGCCATTTTGGCCAATCTAGGACAATTAACGCGCGATAAATTTCGCGCTATTAACGCGCAAGCGGAGATTTAATCCGTCTTAGAAATCATTCCAAATTGGTTGAACGAAGCTTATTTGCCATAATTGATTTGTTACAAGGAGCGAAATCTATCCTTTTTTAAATTAATATGGCGTGTGGGGGGATGATTTTCATTTAAAAAATTCAAATTTCAGAAAAAAGTTTTCATTTTATTTTGTTACTTTTAATTTTTTTTATAGGTTATTACTGCTCCATAAACATTAAAAACGCAGTCGGAACATTCAGGGTTTTGCCCTGATACGAGCAGTCTTGTTCGATTTGTTATTAGATTAAAGTGAGTAAGAATAAGCTTCAATTTTTGCGTAGATGTATGCAAAACAGATAAAACACAACGCTAGGTACAAACAATCAATCTGATAGTTATCAAGTTCTTGTTTCTAACACTTAACACGCTATCCGGAAAACCATTACAATGCCAAGCTCGGGTACTTTGGTAGTGGTTTGTATTCCGCATAAATTGTTCCTGAAATCAGCATACTTTGGATTCCGCAACATTTTGAAAAGCCTTTGAAGTCGGAAACCTGATAGAATCGAAGTACAAATGTTTAAACACTAGTTGCTAAAGTTGAAATTTAGCTAGCTAGCAAAAATTTGGAATCCAGTGACAATGCGCATTTTGGGGACAAATGGTTAGACATGCTTTGTTTTGGATTCCGCATACAATGCTTTTTTTGGCAGTTGGAGTAAATTGAAGGAAAATCTCACTGGAATCCCCTGTTTGTTCTTTTTGTCACTTGATTCCACAAGCACAGTTTTAAAACCTAGCTTGGCGTCGTAAAGCGCATTTCTCAGTTGTTAAACTATTTTTTTAATTGGGAGGGTATCTCAAGAAAACTTGTTTGGACTAACTTCTGAACATTTTATTTCAATTATTCTGCTCTATTCATAGTCTCAG